GTACCCTGACAAACTTTTACCAAAGACAGAAGACGTTTGGAAATCAACGAGAACAAGTCCCAGACCAATGCCTTGACTTCAAATAGATTTGCCCTAAATACATTTCCTAGATGCACAGCAGGAATCCCCTGTTGAAATAGACGAAGGTATGTCTGGATAGACATGGTGCCTGAGCAAGTAAAAGATTGTGCCTGAGCAAGTAAAAGCTGTCAATATTATGGAGGCAAAAGGTCTGTGTAAAACTGCACTTGGGGTTGGGGGTGGGGGGTTGAATATCATGGACGATATAGTGTATTTTTGATCTAATCACAATGCCAACTGTGGATACCAAAACAACTACAGAGTTTTGTCATTAAGCAATACCATGACGACAATAGAAAATGGGCACAGACAAGCTAAAACTTGGGATTCCATCAAGTAAAAGTACTGTTAGCTATTTTAAGCCAATTATGTATAAACATCTGTATGAGCACAGAAATCATTGTTTTCCCTTTCAACAAAAAGTAAAAAGGAAACAGAAAACGTCAATTCAAGAAACAGAAATTCCCTCATACATGTTTGCACAAGTAGGATTAGACTTGTTTGAAGTCTATCTCAGATCTCTATCACGAAACAGATTTATCATCAATTTCATAGTTCATTATATTTGATCAATGGCAAAGGTGTTTGCAGTGCCTGACAAAAGTGCAGAAAATATAGAGCACCTTCTAACTGAAAATATCATTGCCAGATTTGACTGTCCATTGCATATCGTCACAGATAATGGCACAGAAAACAGTAAAAATGTGAACAGAGTAATGATAGATCTATATTAGAATCAAGCATTGGTTGGAGTTCCCTTCAATATAAGACACTTTTCTAAATCTCTACGTATTTTTACTATACAATAGGGGTGTTCTGTTAACATAGGCTAATTTAGGCACTGGATAGGGTAGCCTTACAGCAACAACACACGTTTCCACGTTGGCTAGCACATTTAATGAGGTCAAAGCATAGGAAGAAACAGGAGGAGGAGGCTGCGAAACATGTTGAAATTAAGATAACACATCCTGTCATCCTCAGCGACAAAGCAAGCTTCAATTTAAATGGGTTCCGTACTACCAGTAGTGGAACACATGTCCCCCTTTTACTTTCCATCTGAAATCTATTTAGGGGGCGGTGGGATAGCCGAATGGTTAAAGCGTTTGCTCGTCATGCTGAAAACCCAGGTTCGATTCCCCACATGGGCACAATGTGTGAAGCCCATTTCTGGAGTACCCCGCCGTGGCATTGCTGGAATATTGCTTAAAGCGGCATGAAATTATACTCACTAACTCACTGAAATCTATTTACATGGCTCTAATATTGTATCCCAGGAAGGGAATTTAAGATTATGAAGTGTTGTTTACACAATGCATGACTTTGTTTAGAAAGCTAAGTTGAAATATTGGACAAAGAGCCGTCCCCGCCAATCCTATACAAATCCTATATAAGTAAGAGTGACCTCAGCAGTGAAGAACATAGTGACAGACTGGAAGACATGTACAGAGTAATGATGGAGGTCAATGTTTTTGACAGCCAAAAACTAAGCTAGACGTGAAAACGGATGGTAAGGAAGACGACAACGCAGAAATCTAACGAGTGTTAGATTGAGTGAGTGAGTTAAGGTTTACGCCGCACTCAGCAATATCCCAGCTATATGGCGGCGGTCTGTAAATAATCGAGTCTGCACCAGACAATCCAGTGATCAACAGCATGATCATCGATCTGCGCGATTGGGAACCCGATGACATGTGTCAACCAAGTCAGCGAGCCTGACCGCCCGATCCTGTTAGACGCCTCTGACGACAAGCATAGTCGCCTTTTGTGGCAAGCATGGGTTGCTGAAGACCTATTCTACCCGGGATCTCCACGGGTCAACGAGTGTTAGAGGCATTCAGAAACCTACTGTAGTAATGAATCATCCTGGGTATGGGATGAACTGAACGAGGAAACAAGGTGGTTGTTATGTTGTTGGTGTTTCACAGACTGATGACAACAACGAAAATCCATTTTCTTCTCGGGTTAACCATTGTTAACTCGATGCATTGAACATGTAGTATTCAGGAAAATAGTGGACATTTCAGTAATGAGGTCCCATTGGCTGGTAAAGTTTGTCATTGACCCAGAATCTTATCAACGACTTATTGACAAAAAGGAGACAGATACCGAGAATGTTTCAGGAGGTACGAATAGTATAATAAATCGCAATCATACTCAACAAATAATATGATTTTGTGTTATTCAGCAGCCTGGCCAGTGATGTTTTATCGCGAATGACTACAAGGTAAAACTAAAAGACTGTCCGACTTTAAGCAACGGCAGATCCAGGCGGTCTCAACATAGGCATAACGTTTTCTATTTGGCACAGTCTAGGCAGATGACCTTGAAGTAATAACATAAAGCAGTTAAACCAATTATGTAAGAAAGCTGATGTTGATGAAGGCGTTCTCTCCATATAGAACACCTCCAGGGTTCAGGTCACCGAAAATACATATATGATCAATGAATTGACAGTTGACTTATGGCGGGAATTCCTTACTGTTAAAAAAGACATTAGAAGACTTGATGTTTACATTCAGAAAACAATGTTTTGTCTGCAACATCTACAGTTACAGTTAAACATTGTCGCTGTATGAAGGCCATTCTCTTCGTACAGCGGTCACTCAAGTCATATCTTCCCACGTACCTCTAATCTAATACGGCCCTTACATGGTGAGAGTGATCAGGATTCGTGATTGTTTGCAATTGGATTTAGTTGTGCAATCAGTGACGTTGTTTCAAAAGTGATCATTCGCAAAGCCTTGATAATGTCCGTATGCTTCGGGAAACCTAGAACCTCTTCTTCTAGACAGAACTTAGTCAGTAGTGGCGGATCAATGGCGTCTCTATCACCCTCGTTGACAACGGACAGGCTAGCCATTAATGTCTTGTATGGCAACACATTGGGATATGTAATGTTTTTATAGGTTATCTTGTGACTTTATTTTATTTAAACAAAGCGTGTTAAAATGGTCGACGAAACGCTACCAAGCAGTTGTTGGTGTTCTAATTGCACGAAAACTGCAAAAAGCAGAACATGTTCGGGGAAATGCAATTAGCCAGCAATGTTCACAGAAGAAGGCGAGACAACATTACGTTTATCATATCTAGTCAATGATAGGTGCAGCAGTAATACAAACACCCCTGTACATCAGTTCATAACTGCATCATGCCACGCCTCGGGGGGAAATGACAGATGGAGAGGTACAACTGCAGCAAAGACATCAATAACTGCAATTGAGGGAAACGTGAATGCTGTGAGAACCCAAGACAAGATTTTGCAAATGGCCGCTTAACCGTTTCTTGCGCCCTGGAATGATAACGCCACAACACATTTTGCACGAATTGTACAGCAATATCGTAATCAGAGCAATGTGTTACCCTGGTCTGAATGATGCCCTGATTTGTCACCTACTGAACGCATCTGGAGCGTCATCTATGCTGTGGGAGCACCAAATCCTTCTACCAATAATGAATGATCTTCTCTAGGACTTTCATCAACGTTTGTCACCCGTAAAGATACTGGTTAGAATTTTTAGCAACCCATACTTGTCGTAAGAGGCATCAGGTGGTCAGGCTCCCTGACTGGGTTGACACATAAGGTGACAGGCCTGTATCAACGCGCATGTTCGACATAGACATGTGAACGTGATTGTGAATCCGCTTATGTTGTGGCTTATTTGCATATGTCACTTTAAACACTTGTCTTTCCATCTCATAACATTGCATTTACATCATTTACAGTTTAATTTTGAATCTGTTGTTGTTTGAGTGTCACAATAACTTTTGCCTTTCAGTATATGTTAATCAAGCTTAAAACATTACATGCTTCAGTAAAGCTTTTCAAAAGGTTTGACTCGTGAAATTTGTTCCTTCTTTGGCAGTAAATAAGATCCTATAATTCTCTGGAATTGATGTGTTTTATGTACAACATATGTTTCTATAGCTGTTGGTGTGTTAATCCTCGGCTTTACACGATGTCTGATCCACTTGTACGTATGGTTTCAGGGTCTACCTTCCCGAAAGAGGAGTGACATATCTCACAGAGAAGGTTATGCGTTATGGAACAATCTTTGTGCCTTCTTTGTGTGCTCATCCAAAGAAATCACGCATATATCTAAAGCACGCTCACAAAGTTTACAATTTAGGAGATGAGGTTGAAGTGCAAATAGATCTGTATGATATGCTTGGTAACCGCAGGATGATGGGAGGTGATTTCTTGAGAGTTTGGATGGAGAACCCAAAGAGAGCAGCTTCGGTTTCCGGTCGGGTGGCGGACCTCCATAATGGAAGTTATACTGCTCTGCTTAAAGCTGTATGGCCAGGAAATGCAACAATCAAGGCATTCATTGCTACGAGAAGAGAGGAGATCGTTCTTGACTATATGATATTCCAAAAGCATTACAGTCTCTGGACGATTTTTGCTGAATTTCGGGCAAACAATCTCAAAGATGCAACAAAGTGCTCAATTAGCCAAGGAAATTCCTTAAAGACGAACGAATGGTGTAATTTCACGAATGAGAATAATGGATACAGTTACTACTGCAGGAAATCCAAAATCAAACAGTTAACGTGTGATAGATGGTCGCATTCATATAGTGCAAACGGAATTTCTGCTCCACTTAATACCACAGAGAGGAACATTCTTGGTTTGTATGTATTTTTAAAACAATAAATGGTTGGGTATCTGACGATCAGTTTTTCTAATAACGTGATGTGTTGGTTAGGTGCAAAGGCTACGACATTTCGTGTTTTCACAAAACACCGAATATGACAAACGGTCGAAATTACCCAAAAATCGTTAAAGGAAGGAGAATCATCTTTTGTAACTTTCGAAAAGGTACTACCATTAATAATTCTATAAAATTTTGAACATGTTAAACATGTGGTTGTCTTTTACACAACTTAACTTTATTCCAGTTATTCTATTTCCTTTGTTTAAATTGCAGGTCTGTGATAGATCCAAAACTCGATATTTTACAGACTTCAGTGATGGTGTCTGTGAGAAGAGGTAGGTATGTGTAAGCCCGTAGTGTTGACAGGAAGGATGCAACCTGTCACTCACTGGACAAATCATCCACCCATAGTGTTGACAGGAAGGATGCAATATGTTACTCACTGGACAAATCGCCCACCCATAGTGTTGACAGGAAGGATGCAATCTGTCACTCACTGGGCAAACCGTCCATCCACAGTGTTTCCATAGTGTTGACAGGAAGGATGCAATCTGTCACTCACTGGACAAATCATCCACCCATAGTGTTGACAGGAAGGATGCAATATGTTACTCACTGGGCAAATTGTCCACCCAAAGTGTTGACAGGAAGGATGCAATCTGCCACTCACTGGACAAATCGTCCACCCATAGTGTTGACAGGAAGGATGCAATCTGTCACTCACTGGGCAAACCGTCAATCCACAGTGTTTCCATAGTGTTGACAGGAAGGATGCAATCTGTCACTCACTGGACAAATCGTCCACCCGAAGTGTTGACAGGAAGGATGCAATCTGTCACTCACTGGGCAAATCATCCACCCATAGTGTTGACAAGAAGGATGCAATCTGTCACTCACTGGACAAATCATCCACCCAATGTGTTGACAGGAAGGATGCAATCTTTCACTCACTGGACAAATCGTCCACCCATAGTGTTGACAAGAAGGATGTAATCTGTCACTCACTTGACAAATCGTCCATGCCATAGTGTTGACAGAAAGGATGCAATCTGTCACTCACTGGGCAAATCGTCCACCCATAGTGTTGACAGGAAGGATGCAATCTGTCACTCCCTGGGCAAATCGTCCACCCATAGTGTTGACAGGGAGGATGCAATGTGTCACTGGACAAATCGTCCACCCATAGTGCTGACAGTAAAGATGCAATGTATCACTTTGACAAATCGTCCACCCATAGATTGCATCCTTCCTGTCAACACTGTCACTCACTGGACAAATCATCCACCCATAATGTTGACAGGAAGGATGCAATATGTTACTCACTGGGCAAATTGTAAACCCATAGTGTTGACAGGAAGGATGCAATCTGCCACTCACTGGACAAATCATCCACCCATAGTGTTGACAAGAAGGATGCAATCTGTCACTCACTGGACAAAACAGCCACCCAATGTGTTGACAGGAAGGATGCAATCTTTCACTCACTGGACAAATCGTCCACCCATAGTGTTGACAAGAAGGGTGTAATCCGTCACTCACTGGACAAATCGTCCATGCCATAGTGTTGACAGGAAGGATGCAATCTGTCACTCCCTGGGCAAATCGTCCACCCCTAGTGTTGACAGGAAGGATGCAATCTGTCACTGGAGAAATCATCCACCCATAGTGTTGACAGGAAGGATGCAATCTTTCACTCCCTGGGCAAATCGTCCACCCATAGTGTTGACAGGGAGGATGCAATGTGTCACTGGACAAATCGTCCACCCATAGTGCTGACAGTAAAGATGCAATGTATCACTTTGACAAATCGTCCACCCATAGATTGCATCCTTCCTGTCAACACTGTCACTCACTTGACAAATCGTCCACCCATAGTGTTGACAGGAAACATGCAGTCTGTCACTCACTGGAGAGTTGTGCATGATTAGAATCGAAAACGTGTCCTCAGCATTACAAGCTAACGCTTTAACCACTAGGCCACCTCACCATCACCTGTAGCCAAAGTACAAGAGATGTTAAAATGATGATTGCACTGGACAAGTAGCGTCAAAGAGACAATAAGGTCACATATATTGCTTTGATTTCCGATATTATTAGAATTGAATCAGTTGTCTGACCTTGCTTTCACTTATCAAAAGACCAATCATAGCGTCTCCTTCGAGCTTGTTTCTAATCATACAACGTTAAACTGGGTCATTACTGGCTATTCCGAACGACAGTTACAGGCTGTGCCTCAGATTATAAATATTGTCTAATCATTTGCCTGAACAACATTTCAATGGTATAGCCTTTGCATAAACCAGGGAAAGTGCTGCTATACACATTCGGCCATCTAGACATTCCTAAATGTTCCTTTGTTCAGGTTTCATATTTCGAATAGACAAAATGTCTCTCAAAGCGAAGTATGGAATGGACGTCGTCAGTGTGGAACTTGTGCGGTATTGATAGAGAAAGTTCGTTCAGTCTGGCTACTGTGGACTTCTCATTAGTCTGTCAAAGTTCGCGAAAAGTCAAGATCTGTAATAGCGATTGCTCTGGTCATTGTTTGCCGATAACAAGAACTAAGATCTGATTTGTATGGGGGCTATGCGACAATTGTTACTAACTGTTCCTCATCACACACAACACTGCCTACAGACAAACAATTTTCGCCACGCGTAATTTGGTCCTGGGGCACTTTTGGGGTATGTATATCCTTCTGATTACCAACAGTACACGCACGAAGATATATGTATGTATCCATGTTTGAATTCACCCTGAGACCATTTTTCTTTACCAGCTTCTAATGATATGGAACTGCCGGCCCCTAGAACTCCCTGCAACAAGTTACCAACGGTAATGACATGGCAACGTACGTCTCCAAATGGCTACTTTCTCCAGAATAAATGGCATTCGCTGTTGTGTACTAACACTTTGCCCCGCACCACTGATGCCTACAGACGATGCTTGAAAGGAAGGACGCTCTGGCTTCATGGGGATTCAACCAGTAATCAGTTTAAAGGTTCTCTTCATTCAATTTTACACTTTCCATCCCATACCGACGCGCATGTACCGACTACAGACACAGATGTTACACACAATTTTTCAATTTCCTGGCACGCTCATGAACTACCGTTCTATAATGGAGCTCGACGCTATGACAGGTCAACACACCAGGGACAGAACGTCATGATGGACCGTCTCCCGAACACAACCAAGGACATCGTAGTGTTGTATATGTACGTTCATTTCACGCTTGTCCATCCGGATGTGTTCAGGCGACATGTTCAGAGACTTGTTCCATCAGCAAAGAACCTCTTGGCACGCGCTCCTAATGTTACACTTGCAGTTCGCGGTCCACATGCGTTTTTCAGACCTATGCACGGTTTGTTATCCTACTGGGGTCTTCTGTACACTAACATTTGGCATGAGGCATTTGCTTCACTGCAACACAAGATTGTTTATCTAGATTTCTGGGACTTGACTATGGCTAAAACTTCTCGGGATTTCCACCCAGCAGAGGACACAGTGAAAGAAATGGTGCACACCATGATGTCACTTCTGTGCTTTAGAAAGTGAAAGAGTCATGTGGACTTATCCTTTGTTGTCTGTATTGTAACCGTGAAGGTTGTCTCTCCTCAAATGTTCCGATTTTTTTCAGGGTATATATTACATGGACCTTTGTAATGATGATTGTATCATGGTAGTATGGTGGCAGTTAGTCAGTCATGGATTATTCTTAGCTTTGAAGGGAATGTTTCACTGTAGAATAGCACTCTTAGACAGATGATTCAAACTAATGATTCTGTATGTGGAACTTCTCAGTCTGAATCCAAAGTTTCTTCGGTAAATAGATGTTTACGTTTGAACAAAATGAAACCCTTAGAATGAGCCATATGCATTGGGTCCCTTTAGATGCGAAGACAGACTATGGCATTAGGCCATATTAGACGACTATAGGCGATTAGAACAACCACTTGCCACGTGCACACTTGGATTACTAACAACGTACATTGTAGGACTTGGTCAATGCCAAGAAAACGTGATTTTGATGTGTCTTCATGCTGTTGGTTTGTTGTTTAACGCCGCGTTCAGCAATAGTCCAGCTATGTGGCGGCGGTCTGTAAATAATAGAGTCTGGACCAGATAATCCAGTGATCAACAGCATTAGCATCGATCTACGCACTTGGGATACGGTGACCCTGACCACACGATGCCGTTAATCGCCTCTTACGACAAGTTTGGGTTACTGAAGACCAATTCTAAATCGAATCCTTACGTGTTCCTCAAGCGGACGACATCATGATCAATGCACTGACATTGACTGTATGTTAGAAACTGTGAAAGTGTATGCACATTCATTATATAAAATTCGAAAGAGACGATGGAGGAGATATTTTCTGGGGGGATTATTTAGCGGGTTTAGTTAGTGGTACTGTTTATTTTACAATTAATGTGGATACAAGTAAGGTTATTGTGGTTTAAATACCGGAATGAATAAAGTTTTGAAAACTGTATCTATAGTCGTTGTACTTTTTGTGAATCTCTGAGGACGCCCTGTTGGGATCACATCAGTAAGGCTTTTTGTGTGGGCTGAATATTTAACCCAGAATTCAAGTTTTTGGAGAGCATTATAGACGGTACATGTATAGTGATATAAGTATTTGATATGACTGAAAATGCGAAACTTGATACGCTCTCCAACGCTTGTAGAACCACGTTGAATAAATTTGGAACCATTTCTTAAATGATGTAATGACTGCACATATTGTTTTCAAGAAATGAATATGAGTATGTTTCCATTTACATACAAATAATCCAAGCCTCGACTTATACGAACCCATCCCGATAATGTTATCCCAATGTAAATTTAGGGTTTTCATTTAAACTTTAGACGGACAAATTGTTTTTAGTCCTACTGTGTGTTTACATCGGAAAGCCATATTCATTCACAATATGAACAGGTCGCCATGCAGGATACATTCAGGCTTTATGAAGGTTAGGTGATGTTATTACACGATTTATAAGCGTGTACACATAATAATAATAATTGATTTATAGAGCGCCTATTTCCAAAAGATATTGCTCAATGGCGCTATAAAGAGAAAAGATTGTAGACAATGTCTATGGAAAAGAGAGTTTGAACAGATGAGTTTTGAGGGCAGTTTTGAAAGCGTCAGCAGATTCTATTTCTTTTAGGGCGAGTGGTAGAATGCTCCAGAGATAGGGGGTTGCAGCAGAGAACGCTCTTGATCCCATGGCTGTTTTGACGTGAGGCTGTGTAGGCAGTAGGGAGTTTGACGAGCGGAGCAATCGGCTTGGAACATGGAGATGAATGAGGCTTTTAAGATATTGAGAAAACATGTTTTCATAGATGCAGCTGTGTGTATGAAGAAGAAGTTTGTATTGAATTCTGCTTGATACAGGAAGCCAAAGAAGAGTTTGGAGGATAGGTGTCACAGTTTGGTAGCGTGGTGCACGGGCAACAACACGGGCGGCTGAATTCTGAATCCGTTGGAGTTGTGAAAGGAGCTGTTGAGGAATGTTGTAATAGAGGGAGTTGCAGTAATCAAGTTTAGAGAGAACAAGGCTGGTAGTTAGAAGCTGGGCGGTGTTGAAGTCTAAGAGGGTTCGGATCTTGCTAATATTGAAGATATGGTAGAAGCATCCTTTGCTGAGTGATTTGATTTGATTTTCTAATGACATTGTTGATTGAAAGATGACACCAAAATGTCTCCTGTTCAGTTGAACATATCCATAATGTTCATTCTAAGATTTCTCTCCCGTTTCGACAGAAAAGCTTTCTGAAATTTAGAAACCTGAAATCCACACATGTATGGCGATATCCGGGTCAACAGAATATGTTCTTAAAGGAAGGTTGTTTGCTTTTCAGTAAGTTTGTAAGCTGTGACTCGCCATAAGAATATAAGTGATGTTTTAATCTATTCCTCAAGCTAGAATCAAGATTAGTGGGGTACAATTGTCCCCGACTCATTGTTAAACCCTGATCCTATTTAAAACAAGTATTCTCTTGTATTCAGCCCTATTGACAAAAGCACATACGGGTTTTCCCCTTTTTTCACGTTTTCCTGTATTTTTGTGGATTGGCAGTCCGGTTTATTCTTATTTAACTTCAATTATGAACCCAGAAAACAGGTACAAAACGTTAATGAACATTAAATCAAGATGTGCTGTGATATGAGTCTATACAGAGGACGAATTGGCTGTTTTAATGCAACTTGTAATCGTCATTATGGGCAGCCATGCACGTACTGAAAGGTTCAAGCATGGCAATTTGAATTTGTCTACTTTTGTCTCTCCTCCTAATAGCGAGGAGTAATGACGCTGAATCAAAAGAAGAAAGAGACAGACTACACTTGATAGTGATCTGACTGTTGCTGAAAGCGAAATAATGAAGGACATTAAAACAATGCGGCTCGAGATGAATTCAAACTTTCAAAACCTGGCTTGAAAAATCACTAAGAACAAGACATACAATTCTTGAGTGAGAAAATGTGATGCTACAAGCGACGCTGGACACAGTGCGTACGAAGATTGAAGTTCTTGAGAGACAGCCAAAAAGCAATAACTTGCTCATCTACCACATTCCAGAAACGTCGAGCAAACACGAGCACACCGAACAAAAAGTGTGAACTATTGGAAAAGGACATGTGTATCAAGTCAGTGTTGGAATTATTGTAGTGTTCGTCGCCTACGCTCCAGACCTCTCGTAGCACGACCTCTTCTCTTCACCCTAATAGATGGGAAATAGAAAAAAGCAACAACATGATTCTTAACTTAAAGGTCACCCTCTCAAAGTTAGTATTTCACAAGATTATACACAGAAAACTCGCAATATCAGAAAATCCTTAATGCAACTCATGGAGAAAGCACGAAAGGAAGACAGCTTCGTTGTTTTAAGAAGGGATACACTTCAAATTGATGATAAACATTATGCTTTTGATGAAACCAATCCGACAACACGAGATAGGGGTGTGATCGAAGCCCTGATCGTTATGTACCACAAGGAAGTGCTGATAGAGTTATACCTGTAAAATGTGTATTCTGGAACACTGGAGGATTTGAAAGGGAACTCAATAAGCAACATATCTGGGATTATATATTGAAACATGGTGTGTCATTTACAGTTCAGCTATTTCAGGAATAAACATCCCAGTGCTGTGCGAAACTCCGTTCATAAACGAATATGTGATCCAAAAAAGTGGAACACATAAATACGAACTCAGATAACATCATGTGGATTAAAATCTGCTTTAATATTACAAGAAAGTTTTTTTTATCTTGGTACTGTTTATTTCTCGCCAATCGGTTCAAACATTCATACTAAAAAGTCAATCTCTGTAAAACTTGAAAATGATGTTTTAACATTTTAACAGAGATGTCCAGAGTCTCTTTTTATTATCCAGCGAGATTTCAATGCCAGGACTGGTAACGTTTCACAATAGGATTATGTTGGTGATGATGATGACTCCAAATAGATGATGATGTACAGGATGATCCTCCGAAACGTGTATCAAATGATGATGTCTTAACATCGGGAGGATATCAACTATTACAGATCTGTAATTCTTCAGGTCAACAAATTTGCAACGGCAGGCTATGTGACGATAATCCAGGTAAGTTCACATGCTTGAAAGGAATTGTTGATGGCTTTATCATTTGTAATGAATGTATGCTTTGTTACTTTGCAGGATTTCGTGGGGGAGAAGAGCCAAAATGGACGCAGATGCCTATAGAATATTTATTTTTAATCGACAATCCAGTAGGCCACCCTTTAATCTTACACCCAGACAAAGATATGTATGGAATCCCGAACTAAAACAAAACGATGCAAATGTGTGGAATCAAGTCATTCCTTGTGAAAACTTTGTATATTTACGAGCGCATCAACACAGATGATATGCAAGGGGCATATAACTCTATATATTTCAAGGCTCATCGAAACGTGCGTAAAATCTGTGTGCAAACTTAGATCTACTGGAAACACTCATGTTTTATGTGACTGTGGTAAGTACAATGACTGGTTCGATTCGGAATGTAAACGTGCCAGGAATGAAGCAAGGCGTAGACTTAGACTTTAATGACAGCCAAGACACCCATTTTTATTGTCAAGCATATACATTTGACAAAGATCTTTGCTATAAAAAAATAATCCAACTATTTATATGTTCTTGCAGAGATACTACATAAAACCTTATTGCCACACAATTGTAAGTTATTCTGGACATGGGTTACTTTTCTAATTCTGTCTCTGAAGAGTTAGCAGATGAATGAACTATCAAATTCTAGACCTATTACACTTCTCAAAGTCTCTGGTAAAATGTTTTCTAAAATTATCTGTAAACTATTACATGATTAGGCAGATGAAAAAAAATGTTCTTGTACCTGAACAGGTAGGATTTCGAAGGATTTCCACACTTCAGGTGACATCTTTATTTTAAACACTATAATTAATAAATATTACACAAAGGATGACTGTATTGTGCATTTATTGATTTGACAGCAGTGTTTGACTAGGTATGAAGAGGGGATCTATAATATAACTAATTATGACACTGGATGGGTAGTATTAACGGGAAAATCTTTAGAATTAGTAGAAGTATGTAGCAGGGACTTAAACTGTGTATATTACTGCAACATGGATGCACATCCTACTTTGATTGTTTATATGTCATTTCTGTCGGTTGAAGGATGAATAAGAAGGAAATTACTTTCTCCTAGTGGTGTGGAGCTTTGATGTAAGTAGAGTAGTCTGCGCCAGTAGGTTGCGCTAAACAGGGGTATTTAAGGGGATTAAGATTTGAATTGTTCATTCTCGCTCTAGTGCAAGCACGGCCATTACGTCATATTTAATATGGACACGGACGCCAAGCTGGATGCAATACTTCAGCAATTAAAGTCTAACAAATCTCAATTTGAACTGTCGCTCAATGACCGCATCGGAGTATTGAGAGAAGAATTTCAGCAGACTACCAAAGAGGTCAAGAAACTGCGTGCTGAAAAAGACTATGTTTGGAGTCGGGAGGGTAACAAAATTCAACATAATTTCAATGAAGAGACTATAGATTCACTAAATCAAATTCTAGCCTCTATTCAAAATCAACGTATCGAGGACTGTGAAACGTTGATCACGTAAGAAATCACAAGGCTTCAAAAACGCAATAAACTGATAAATTAAGCAGATTCGTCTGAGGGTAGTTGGGAGACTGTTCGGGACTATGTTTCTAACGAACTGGCGGATGGTTCCGACGACGATCGGAACATTGCGAGGGCCGACAACAAGGCTGTGCGTAAATTACGCCAGAAACGTGCACGTCAAACGCCCTATGGAAGTAGGCCAGCTAGGCGATCGGCAACCTATACTCGTCCCGTGCAAACTGCTTTTTTGCCTGTTTCTTCTGTTCAACATATTCAACCAATCAATAATCAGCTTTTTCGAGTCAAAGGTCAAAAGACAGGAGCGTGCTTCACATGCGTTGACTTCAGTCACTTCA